AAAAAAAACAAAAATATAAATATATAAATAAATAACGATATTATAAAGTATAATAGACACCGCGCGACAACTTCAGCGCGATAAAGTTATTGCGACACTCGCTATCGGCAACGGCGACAAATTAATTGACGTTTTTTTACCCCCTCCGTGAGTCGCATGGGTCTGTCATACCCATGCGACTCGTAAAGCATTTTTTTTCTAAAAAATGAGCGTTGCTATGCAAAAAATTTTAACAGCATGTTAATCTAATTAAAAAGTTTGAGGAATATTAATTTTTTCAAATTTTTCAAAAAATATTTAATAGTAAAAAATTTTGACTGAAAATCGCGTCGGGTCTGTCAGACCCATGCGACTAACAGAAGGTTAATCCATCGCAACAAAAGTGAACATCGTTTTCAATAATCTTTTGCGAATCAGAATAATTGTCATTGAAACAATCTTTAGTAAGATCACGAACAATGTCCAAATATCCTGTCTCTTGGTAACCTTTTAAGTCCTAACTGAAGAAACAATCCCAATCATCATCACCTGTTTGTAATTTCGTACTAAGAGCAAGAGGGTCGAATTGTTCTTCACAGAATAACTCTAAATTTCTAGAAACAACAACAGAAAATGAGATAAAATTCGTATTAGTTACGTATATACCTAAGATTTTTATATATAATCTTACCTGTTTAGATAATTGTTGACAGCTTGTAGCTTAACTTCCTGAGCATGCGATACGTGATGATCTTCGCACTCATCGCAACGATTATCATCCTGTTGCGAATTGAAATTTTCGTAGCCAAAATTATCCTTAGCATGATCGATTAGAATTTCCATATAATTTGTTTCTCCTTATCTTTCCAAATCCCAACTGATAAAATCATCTCCATCTCCATATTCTGCTTGGAAATTAATGCTGAGATACGGAGGTTCAAATCTCTTTTCACACAACATTATCTGTAGCTCTCCATCCACCTGCATATTTTCAATTTTCTTAAACATATCCATTCTGAAATATGAAAAAAAAACTTGTGAATTGATTGGGTCTTATCATCAAGCGAATATTTTTCACAGATCTATTTTCATTATTATATACTTTTTCTATCGAAATTAAGTATATTCGATTCCAAATCAGTTCGAAATAATGAAATTTATCTTAAAATTAATATCTTATTTTAGCTTTTGCTGTTAATTTAGTTTAAGAATCTTATGATTATTTAACAACAAATTTATTGATCGGTATTTTTGTTTTTATAGAAGTATTTGTACAGTATATTTTGTAATTTGTCGAAACATTACTCACCTTTATATTTAACACAAATTTTCTGAAGAAATCAAAGCACAAACTTTTAAATACGTCTTTTCTCTTGGAAAAAGTCTTTTCAACAAAGAAAGTGCAACAATGGAAAATCTATTGTTGCCAACATTTTTGCGTTTCCGCGTGATATTGACGCTGTGAAAATAAAAATTTATGAAATTTTTAAATTATCCGGTGTATATTCATATGTGTTTGTGTCAAGTATCATTGCAAATGAATACTCTACATTAATTGGTGGGCATTATAGAAAAGTAACATGTATAAACTGAACAGTGCATAAATATATTTTTAATGCATAACAATGCATTTTATATTCATAAACAAGTTAACATTTTTGTTTATTTGCTGCTTTAGTTTAAAAAATATAGAATTTAAATTTAAGTAGAGTTTAGAACAAAAGTTTTAATTTGTAAATTAATTTTATACGACATTTAGCCAATTATTTAATTTAAATATAATGCTCAATATCGTCAAGAAAGAAATTTTAACAAATTTTGGAAGTAAAGTCAGTGCTTAACGCATAATTCTATATTACGGACTGTTGTGACGTTACCGAATCACGTGACGGAACGAAGATGGCGAGACGTGGTAGCTGAAAGAGTATTTTCTTGTGAATTTTATTGTGAGATTAGCTGGGGGTACAACATAGAGCACCACTTAATCAACTCAGAATTGTGAAATACGATGTCTAAAATTTTAAGGAAGGCTTTTTAGAAAGAAGTGAATTAGACTTCTCAGTCTATATCCTTGTCAGGACATGAGACACCAGTTAATCTGTTTTCTCACAACTGTAATGTGTCAAACTTTACTACACAATCGATGTTATCCATATACAGTCTTTCATACAAAATATTCGGTAGATGAAAAAGTTATGTAACAATGACTTGATGTTTTTCAATTGAAGCACGTGACATAGGCTGATACTATTTTTTAAAAGCTTCTGTTGATTTAGAAACGTAACACTTTCATTTATGGTAACAGTATTAAAACTAGTGTAAAACCTTACTATCATAATAATGGTGTCTAATACATTTTACAAGTTATACATTAATCATTAATATAAGAAGCAGTCTACAACTATAAAGCTTGTACAGCTTGCACTGGATTTTATGGAACACGGCAGAAGTAATACAGATAGAAAACATATTAATTCACTTAACATGCAAAAACCAAATGGCAATGCATATTTTATAACTTAGTGGTTAAAAAAGATTCTATCTCAGACAAACCTAGTTGTACAATTTACGAATTCATGTGANATATTGTACAATATAAAGTGTCATTTTGAAGTTTATATTAGATCTTAAAGTGAAAAAAAAGTTAAATTTATGACATTTATTAAAACTCTATTTTCTTTGTAAAGTTACAAGAACATTTTTGGATACTTATTGCCGGTTCACACAGACCACAATGGGTAAGACCAGATTATAAGCAGCAGGTCTAACATATTTAGAACTTATCATCATTGAAATAACCTAGGGGTAATGCTTTTAGCAAAATCGACTGTCAAAAATTTCACATCCAATTGACAGAATATCTTCGAAAATGTTAAGGAATATATAGGTATTACAATAAACCTTCGCTATGTTTAAGCTGTATACAGTTCCCAGTACAGTATATAGATTTTCCTTGTTTTACGGTATGTTAAGTCGAAATTGTCGAAAGTTTCTACTAGAACCTATTCTTCTATGTACTTTTCGATAGGCCTATTATCCATCATTACACGCATTTATCAACTTGTTGTTTGTCTTTTTATTTACATAAAATAACTCAGTTGTAAAAAACTTACTAATTTCCGATTTAGTTAAATTTTGCGCATGTAATTCTAGAAATTTATAGAGCATAACACCACAATAAAAGTTTTACAAAAGACAATTGGATTCGGATTTATGGACAATCTGCCAAAGAAACATACCTCTAGTACAATATAATATAATAGAATCATGCAATACAGGAGAGCGTCGATTATCCGAAAGTCAATCAACCGAAACGTCAATCATTCGAAAAAATTTCAGTCCGCAAATTTAAATTTTCGCTGGTGCTGTGGCGCTGCAATCTTCGGCTGTATCTTGGGCTACTCAAATATTTTACGTTTTTGATAGTAAATTAACTTCTGAAGTATAATTTTTCATTGTTTTTATATTTTTCAATATATTTATTTTGTTTGTACAAAATAAAAAAATAATTTTTAACGATACAATAGTCTTCTTAACATCGACGAAAATTAAACGGGCAGCGACACGCAACGGAAAATAATTTCAACATGAGATTAATTAATATATTTTTTCCTACATAATCGGTTATCTGAAACATCGATTTACCGAACAACCCCAGTCCCCAATTGCTTCGGATAATCGACCCTTTACTGTATTTTCATATTTATCGAAATCATTAATTCTTTATACGACAGATTTAAAAACAGATTTCACAAGTTTTCTCTTGAATAAACAATCGCTTATCGTTGTCATAAATTAGTTACGCCCTTCGATAAAAAAAGTACGAAGTACAAATATCTTCTTATTCAGAAATTCTTTGTACTGATTCGTATTAACGCTCAGACTGTACTAAAAGGAAACAATCGGGACATCAATTCTGCTCCTCTAGATGTTCTCTAAACTTCAGAAATTCTTGCAATAAGTAATGCTTAACGAGTAAGATTTATTTATATTTTTATACTGATTATAATTATAGCTATTAACTTTATGTAATATATATTTTTAGATAAACTAACGTTAATTATTTGCTAATTAATTAAATTATATAGTAATTAATTGTAAACCTATTCCAATAACTTTTAGGTTTCTCTTTGTGGCTCGGATATAATGTTTATTTTATAAACGTAGACCTTAATATTAATTATAACTTTATAATGTCATCTAANTCTCTCTGTAGCGTGGCGCTACGGACGGCGGGAAAGTAGTTCGGCTGCCCGATTACGTTTTACGTAATTATAGGAGTTTTTTTACCTTTTTTACGGATACCGTCACAATTTTTTCGCAGTATTATAGGAATCGTAATTATAGGGACCGTAATTATAGGGGGGTCGACTGTATATGAGGATTGGTTTCGCTCATCTGTCTTCATTGTTTCTTTTTATCTTTCTACATCGATTGTTCTGTACAGATCGTTGAACATTCTGTTGCAGTTAATATTTTATATTTTAATGTTATTTAAACACATTCGATCGAAATTGTTCTATAAAACAAAAATTTTAAAAAATAATTAAAAAGCGTTCTGAAATAATTTTTTAAAAATACGATTTTTTATGCCGAGATTATAACCGAAAGGCATCTGTTTGATTTCAAACAAAACAAACGCGTCCAAGGTTAAAAGTTTATAATTAATATAATAACTGAGTGGGGAAGTAATTAATATAATTACTTGACTACTCAGCGGAGAGTGGTGGGGCTTAGATAAGTATATCAAGTCAAGTTAAATAACTAGTTTTAAACGTTCGAGAAGCCCTTAAAATGTAATTTAATGAAAGTTGACTGAATTATAAGAAATTATTGTACTGATGAATACTTAACTGTGCCTATCTAATTATAAAATGAAAGAAGATAATGAACTCAGCTTTTTACTCGTTTAGTACTGAAAATAAGACCCATACTTTCAATTTATGAGGTTTATCTAAACTTTCAAATTTATAAATTCTACATTTATAACCAAATACCAATACTTTTGCTAAAGTAACCTACGAAGTCATGCAAAACGCACAATGGCGAAAAACACTGTACAATTTTAAACGCTGATAAAAAACAGATAAACTAACAAAAAGATATGTGGTGGTTGCGAAGGATTTTTATCAAAATACGTATTTTTTTTACAAAACATGTCTTTTGTTTTTTAAACATTATGTAGTGTAAATAATCGAATATTTGGCATTCTTTCATTTTTTTGTTTCTAGTTTCAGTTAAAATAAAGAAATTAGAGATGCGAAGTGATCGATTAATTACACTACATAGTGTTTAAAAAACAAAGTTTTACGACACAGTTTTCTAATAGTAAATAAGAAATAAATTAGTTTCAAAATCCATCGATGAGTGACAGCAGCATACAAATGAAATGCGAATGAAAATAAATAAACGACTTTTANAATTGCAACAGATTATAGGCTAGTTCAAAAATATTCTAAAAGGTTGTTTGTTGTACAGTAGAGTCTCGAAAACTCGGCCTAATGTGGACCGAAGGGTGGCCGAGTTTGTGAAAATGCCGGGTTATCGGGAATGGGGTTAAAAAAATAAGTATGAGTGTTTCCTCAGAAAATACTGTACTGTACTTGTGTGTATTGTTTACTTGAGAATACAACAGAGAATAAACTGCCCAAATACCCTTAAACAAAGGAAAAGTACGTCTTTTATGAAGGCATAGAGCCTTTACTCCATGAAAATGAAAATTAATGAATACACTGTACAGTAATTTACCTGATAAGACAGACCTCAGAAAAATACTTTATGAGGCATAAAGCTGTCTTTATCATGTAAATTAATTAACTAAGGATTTTTTTTGCCCTGCCAGGGTGTGGCCGAGTTATCCGGAGTGCCGGGTTATCGAGTGCCGAGTTTTCGAGGCTCTACTGTACTAAGCGTTGAATTTATACATTTTGTTATTTTATTTGCTTTATTTTTCTTGAGAAAGGTCCTTTAACAAGACCGAAAACGTTAGAAGTAATAAACTTCGGCTGCAAGATAAGGTGTATTAGTAAGTTTTTTGTGAAATTAATTGATAATTTTTTTTACTATAATTTGTTTGTCTAAATTATTTTAAATCGAATGACTTGTAAGCACTAATATTAGCTTTATTATACCGCTATACTTGTTACATTACCACAGGATATCAAAAATCTAAACTTGATGTCCTGTGGTGGTGTAAAAAGTCTAGCAGTGAAGAAAAGCCATTCTTAGTGCTCACAAGCCATTCGTAAGACTAGACAAGAAGCGTATCGTAGTATTTTAAGTCGGTCATTATAAATTTGAAAAGGGAAGTAACTTATGTTGGAAAAATAAGCGAATATTCGTTTACACCTTTACTTGATAGATAAACAATTCGTAGATAAGCAATCTCCGTGTCACGTTTACATACGCACTTTCTCTTCCAGATGTGGGTTTAAAGGTCGTCTTGTCTGATAGCTAACAGTTGTTTTTTATATACCACCAGACAAAAAATATATAGGGGAGACCGGGGCAAGATCGGCATGTTAAGCTTTACTTAAATTTTGTGTAATAAATACTGCTGTAAACTGAAAAAAAAGCTTTGCATATTGTCTATTGGAATGTTACCTTACTATAGAACTGGTTAAAATCAGTTTGAAAATAAAAATAATTAAAATAATTACAACTTTACAAGAGGAGAGAAATTGCCGAAGTTGTTCCTATACCCGGGGCAAGATCGGNTTCTTGTGAATTTTATTGTGAGATTAGCTGGGGGTACAACATAGAGCACCACTTAATCAACTCAGAATTGTGAAATACGATGTCTAAAATTTTAAGGAAGGCTTTTTAGAAAGAAGTGAATTAGACTTCTCAGTCTATATCCTTGTCAGGACATGAGACACCAGTTAATTTGTTTTCTCACACGCGGATTAACACGCGTCTCGAATCAATACGGAGAGGATGAGATCTTTTGATTCAGACATAATGACACATTCCTTAAACATAACAATATCGAGTATTTAATAAAACAACAAAATATACAAATTCGACCTTCAATATATAATTAGGATACAGCGGAGAGAGAGATCACGTTTCCAGTTAAAATCATACTACCTCACAAAATAATTTTCTTCGTGTATTCTTTCTATTCCTTTCGAAGATAATATTCTGTATTTTTGTAGTTTTCCTCAGGGTTTCGTTCTTGTTCCTTTTTAATTCTCAGGAGGCACTGTATTAAACATTTTCTTCTGCTTAGAAACTTATAAACAAACTTTTTATGCCGATTAATTGTATCGTGTAAAATATTTTACACCCCCAAAGAAAATATTGTAGGTCTAGGGTAAAATTAATTTTGTTTTCCCACAACTAAACTTCGCCACTAATTGCTGTTGTGATAACTTTAGTACGATCTTCTAACGACAGCACTTAACATTTCGGACATTTTTCAACAAACTGAAATGAATTTCCTTTGTTGCTAGACTAATTTATTAACATCTGCACCTAATTTCGAGGGTGGGAGAAGTGCCCGGGATGGGTTCGAACGAGAGTTTAGAGTAATTTATTATATTAGGAGGAGGAAACGTTGTTGAGATGGGTTCTTACAATAGTTTAGACCATACACATTCGCGAAAGTGGTCGCTTATTACAGATCTTGTATGCAGGTTTTTCAGACCAAAAATCGATGCCCGCGGTCGCGTTACACAGATGGTCGTTTAATACAGGTAACTTATACGAAGACTCTATTGATAAACTATTCCGTGCCAGAAATTTCTGCCCGTTTTTACAGGTGCGCCTAAGCAGTTTTCACTGTATACAACTATAAACGTGATCTTACGTAACAGTTTATCACAACGAATGACTAATCTACCAGTAAAACATTAAAAAATTTATTTATCCTTCTACTGTACACAGTTTAATGAATTTTCAAAATGCGATAGATTGGGCACTCGGAGTAATAAACTCTCGGTGTAATAAATACCCAAGCATACTTATTAGTATATGAAAAAGAATAATTCAGTAAACTCAAATTAAAATATTTTATATAATTATTAAAAATTTGAATTAATATTTTTAAGCTGGAAAATATCCAGCAAAATGCCTCTTTAATAAAGCGGAATAATAATATGAAGGGCAATGCAAATGATATTAAAATTTACTATTCTTTACAGAATTATGTAAATGCGATCGAAACGGCATTAAAATATGTCATAAAACTAATTGCTTCCGCATTAACTTTCGTGCAAAAGAGTAATTACCAATTATTTTCTATTACGTTTCTGAAATTAATATTCACATAACTTACTCAGAATAAGTTACATATTTCTGACATTCAATTAGTCTGTGTAAGCATTGCATTTCCACTGATTCATTATGTAAGATCAGTTCTGTTGCAATAACGACGCATTGCAGTAACGTTAAAGTTAGTATTCTTCCAATCTCGATAATGAAGCCGTTTTACTTACGTTTAAATTAGTGAATTAACGTTGATAATAGTAAATAATACAAATCGCATAATTTCAAAATAACATTTCAGACAATTTCTAATATTTTGTAAATCATTCTCAATAAACAACATGGTTTGTATTGCTTATTTGTTAGAGCCGTCGATGAGCTCTCTGACAGCATTTGGGCTATATGTGATAAAACCGTGTTCGTGTATATTGAATACAACTGAACACTACAGGCACTTTACATCTTCGCCGCTATATCGAATGTACACGCATTTCGTTGAATTCTTTCTCTGGTTGATCAATATTCTGTTCTTGATCAGGTTAATTGATGGCAACCTTTACGGTTTACGAGTTAACAATATGTACAAAGAAAATGCTTTCAACGAGTCAATTGTAAATGCATTCATATCGAGTTACCTGTCGGTTCAATACAGCATTCTGAAGAGAAAAAAATCGAATGCTCATTGCGTATTGAGTTCTTACGAAGGAGAACAAAAAAAATTTGATAAATTAGAAAAATATTTGTATGTAACACTCTGGAATTCGTTT